TTGGATTGAGTTTTTTGTAAAGACTGTCTCCCCCCACCCCCCAAACGGACTTGGAAAATTTTAAATTTCTACTCTTTGTAGTGCCATTCTAGAAATTTTACCATGCAGACTTAGCCTCGTCTAAAATTAATGTCTTTACTCTTTCTCCAACTATAAGGACCCTAAAACACTGACGGCTCCTTGTCAGCCCCTTACCGCACTTCAGCATTTTAGTTTTGTCAAGTTACCTTATTTCTAACACCATAAATCAGATATGATTACTTTTCATACAGAATGTTTGCTTATATTTAGTCTCACCATCACTGTCACTCACTGGTTCTCACCGGGATTTCTAGAGCCAAACACAAGTATTCTATTTAATCTTCTAATTAAAAGTCCATCTTTGCACAAAGTTAACCTGTACCTCTCTTGTCCTCCCGGGAGCATACTTTCTCTTTAGCCGTGGATCACCTCAACCCTTCAGATTCTGCAGCAGTATTCTGTTATCACCCATCTTGATCTTTGAGGCTGCTGATTTGAAGCTCAAAGTCATGAACTGTGATAATTATAGTTCTGAGGATGCTGCTGACCAGAGCTGTATTTAGCATGAACAGGGTCTGGCTGATAAGTAGAAATAACCTTAGACTCTTCTTCAAGCTGCAGAGGAGCAGTAAGTGATCTTTAGAAGCACAGGGAAGTTGATATCCAAGTGTGATAGATAGAATTAGTTAATGAGAGATAGGGGAAACGAAGAAATAATTTTAAGTCACTATTTTTAAAGCATAAATAGGTTTGCAAAACAGATACTGCATATTGTTCATATGAAATATAAATAATATTTAAGAAATCATTTAACCTGTGATGACAGAAGTCAATACAGTATTTTCTTTTTAGGATACTGTGTAGGAGAGACAAGCAGGGGATTTGGGGGGTACTTACTAGTAATATATGATCTCTTGACCTGGGTGATGGCTACCCCAAGTGTATTCATTCCAAAAATTCATCAAGCTGTAAACACATAATTTATTTACCTTTCTGTATACATATTATTACTGAATAAAAACTTATCAAAAAAACTAAGAACATAAAGATAGTCTTTAAAATAACGGGGTTTTTTTTTGAAATAACTTTTTTAAAGCCACTATCTTGTGCATCAAAGATGTGAAAAATGTGGGGAGAAGGTTAATCTTCATATTCACACCACTCTTAAGAATATGATAAAACAGATGTCTAAAGAATTTGCCTAATTTTTAAATTACAGGGTCTTATTCTGGCCCTGGCCGTAGTGATTTTCTAACAGTTTTTGTGTTCCTATTTCATAGAATGGTTTGAGGTCAAACCAACAGTGGGAGAACTTACTCTTGACCACCTTCCGACCCATGGCTCTCGGTGCAAATATAATTCCATGATTTCAAGGGAAAGAGTTGCTCCTGTTTTACGTGAGTCTTTGTTACTGTGGTTTTATTCTTAACTTTTTACCTGTGAACTGAACCTTTTGCTGCTACTTGGTTCCTTAGAATTTTTTTAAACAGTGAAAATGTTGGTCTAGGCATTCAGTCTAAAGCTGTGTATTAGGCTGGTGTCGGCATGCTCTGGGTAGGTGGAGGGACCACACGGTCCGCTGAGTACCGGTCACATTGGGGACGTTTCCAAGCCAGGTTCCCCCCGCCCCACCCCAACTACAGGACCCACTTCAGCTCTGATGTATCTTTAAAGAGGTGGGTCTGCAACAGGTGAAGGCCAGTGCAGAGCTCAAAGCTCAATTCTCTAGCAGCAGGTAAGGAATCAGCCCTAAGGCAGATACTCATACTTGCATACTTGTATTACAACAAGCCCCTAGTTGAAATCCTGGGAGTTCAGAAAGTGTTCCTAGCATAGCAACCTAGAGCCCATAAGCCATAATCAGTCTCCCACCCTGTTTTTGTAGAGCCTGCAAGTTAAGAATGGCTTTCACATTTTTAAACGGTTCAAACAGTGTATCAGAAGAAAAATGGTATTTTCTGATGCACGAGCATTGTATGAAGTTCAGATTTCTATGTTCATAAATAAAGTTGTACTGGAACACAGCCAGGACCGTTCCGCATGCCATGTCTATGGGCTGCTTTTACGCGACAAAAGCAGGGCTGAGTCGCTGCCCACAAAGTACGTTCTAGATTTAGTGAATAAAAACAGATATAACCAATAAAACCAATAATTACAGGGACATGTTGAGGACATACTTTCATTGAAAATTATTCATTGCTCATCTGAAATTCAAACTTAACTGAGTGTCCATATTTTGTTTTTACTGTCAGGGCTCTGATGGAAAATATTAGGGGACCTGTCCTACAAGGCAGGATTCCTAAAATGTTAAGGGTTTCATGGGGGGTGGGGGACACAGGCCTTTGTTTATATAGGGTCTGGAAAAGCAATGTTAACAGATTCCTCCTTTTAAACTTGTGATTTCTCAGAGCCTTTAATATGCTAATACTCATTGTAAACAGTGAAGAGGAGAGGTACCCAGGGAAGTGTTTTCCAAACTCTATTTGATCACACATCACTCTTATTTGGTTTTGTTTTGCTAATGGCCTGGTAGAACTACCATTTCTAAGAGCACACTTTGTAATATCTAGACATTAGAACAGTCCATTAAAAGGTCTAACTCATATCCTTGAGGCATGGTACTCAGCATGACTCAACTCGACAGAAGTGAAACAGATGCAAAGTGTCCATATATATGTGTGTGTGTGTGTGTGTACACACACACACACACACACACACACACACACAATGGGTACTGATACTTGAAGAGCTGAAGAACATTCCTATATCTTTCCAGAAACATTTCAAGGTCACAAATGAGTTTTTAGAAAAATAATGCTCTCATATCGGATCACAACTCCAAGGAGAGTGGAGTCCTGCTTTTACAACTGTAATGACGTAGCAACTGCTGCACGTGACTTCTCCCCCATTTTATTCTCTCCATGCTCTTCTACGAGTCCCCCTCACTTCAGTGGGCTGTCTCCATCCTTTTCAAAGTGGGTGATGGGCTAAGCGAGACATCACCAGGACAGATCAGGATGGGAAGAAAAATGCTTTTATCTCTCTACTTCTCTCAATCCTATTCCAGAAACTTGGATCCTCTTAGTCTGGGCATAACGGAAATTCATGAATGGTGTGCAGCTGACTTTGGTAATTACATGGATGAGAGCTGTTTTGCTAGATTTTATTTTTTCCAAATTAACTCAAGGGATTCCATCTCAGTTGTTTCTACTGAAAGAGCAGAGTGTTTAGGTCAGGTCAGCTAACATAATTGGAGTGAGTGGAAGGAGGGGAGCAGAGCTAGGCCGCAGGTAAAACAGGATCCTATTTTGCCATCTACGATTGCGTGGCATGTAACGGCACCAAATCCACAGGCTGTTCACCTGAAAAGCTTCTAATTCTCAAATAGGGTGGCAAAAATTAATTGTAAGATAGGTTGTTGCCTTTGTTTTTTTGTTAACACTGAAGTCCCTCCCTATGTTTGCCTAAACCTAGCATCTAGTGAACTCGTGGGCCGAGGGAGAATACATTTCTTAGCTGCCACTGGTCCCTTACATGAGAACTGAGCGACCTGGAAAGTCAGCCAGTTTGGACGCTTCATTGCAATCAGAGTTCCAGAAACTAAACTGCGAATTATGTGTATTTGCCAAATCTCAGCACTGTTAGAATCGAGGCCTCAGCTGCTTTCTGAAACAACATCTAAAAATAGTTGAGTCATATTCAGTATCAGATACACCGAACTAAGCCCCGGGTATTTTAGGCACTGCTAATGGCTTTTGGAAGTGGAGGGCATTCCGATTTTTTATTTACGGCCACTACACTGCGTGCTTTAAATATTCTACTTACCAGGCATGTAGATGAACCTGTGTTCAGACTGTTGCTGATCCCTGTGCAAGTTCCGTATGTTAGAAACACTGATCATCGCGCAAATGTTTAATAACCACAGACTGATTTTAATGTTGTTTATTTAAATATGCCAGGAAATACAGGTACTGTTGGCAATCCACTTAGAAGAATTCATGTCAAACAAGCTGGAAAATATTCTTTTGAATCTGCTATGAACCCTATCACAAACACGAAAAAGTAACCTTGAAAAGCACGTGTCCAATGGCTTTGAAGATGTAATGCAGCGTCTCCTGCCATCCTAGAGGGTCTAATCGCCTGGTTGTGGGTATATAAGTAAATTAAAGCGATGTCTTATCCATAGTTGGGCTCAAAACGTGTTGTTTTTTTTTTTTTTTTTCAATTCAACAACCACGTATTAAAACACCTGTGCCAGGTACTGTTGAAAACGCAAAATCAACAGAGAAGGAGCAAAAATCATTTTAAAAGGTACAGTTAAACATAATTCACCATGACAGGTAAAAGTTTTCTCTCATCAATTCTGTAGCAATGGTGGATCTGCTTTATGTTTTCCTCATCAGAAATGAAAAGAGCAACCACTTTGCCTGATACATATCTACACATCACATGCACTCAGAAAGAATGCATTCCGAACGGTGATTATCACACATTGGCCCGGAAAGAATACTGCCCACCCCCATAAATAGCTAGACTTAAAACATTTTTAAAAAACAGGCATCGTCCTTCTTGTTGATAGGGAGTTGTGGGAGAGGAAAAATTGTGCCTCACTTGCAATTTGGTTCTGGTGTTTAGCAAACCATTTAGCTCAATTGAAAAATTTCTACTGGTTGCTGCCACTCCCCAGAATTTTAGTGGAGGGAAACCAGAGTTGGCCGATATCTTGAAAGATGGATTATCTTTCATGCATTCTTATAATTTTACATTCACATTTGGAAAATTTTCTTCAACTGTAATTAGTCATGTTGTTACGCTCTCTCATTAACAGTCTCATCTGACTTCCAAGATGAGCATTACTAATGCTGGATCCTGAGACACACATGCCAATCTCCAGCTAAACTCTGTTCGTTGTTCTGCATTGCTGAAGGCTTGGCTTTATTAGAATTTCTATCTCCAAAAACTTCTGTGTTTAATTTCACATTTGGGGCAGGTAATATTTAGTGAAAGAAATTAAAGAGGGCCCACATAAAATAGGATGGCTTCTTGGGAGTGAGTGTACAATCTAGTTTTATCTGAGGTAAAGGGTATATACTTTAAATGCGTACCTTAAGCAGCTACACGTTACCCATCTGTTACCTTGCATTCTTTTAAAAACAATTTTTTTTTACATTTATTTATTTTTGAGAGAGACAGAGAGAGACAGAGTGCGAGCAGGAGAAGGGCAGAGAGAGGGGGAGACAGAATCCGAAGCAGGCTCCAGGCTCTGAGCTGTTAATACAGAGCCCGACGCGGGGCTTGAACCCACAGACTGTGAGATCGTGACCCGAGCTGAAGTCGGACACTCAACCGACTGAGCCACCCAGGCACCCCTGTTACCTTGCACTCTACTGGCACAAATCTAAAGTAGAAAATTATGAGACTAATTTTTAACCCATAAAATATAGTTCCTTAGGAAGGGGCTATAGAAGCAAGTCTTTGGAACCTCAGCTGGGGAAAAGATCCAGAGAAAAGGATTTAAATTTGGGTAGAGAGTCATACAAAATGTTTCTTTATTCTTCTCCTGACTGTATGTTCAATCTCCTGAAAAAGCTGATCACTCACCACTGCCTATGGGAAGTTCTCATGACTCCCATGGGGCCTCTGGAGAGCAGTGGAAAATACGAAATACACCGTATGCTTCACAGTGAGCAAATAAATGGAGGTAGCAGGTATGGTCAAAGTAGGTAACTTCAAGAGCTTCAGGAAGATGAGTTGTATTAAGAGAGGCCAACACTACAGGTGTATCTTAAGAAGGCCATTTACTTCACAAAGAATCTTTGGCAGAAGGAAGCAAGGAGCTTTTCTAGGAGCAACAGCAGCTCCTCTCGGAGCACAACCTTTTCAATCAATTGGCACAACACTCATCAGGGACCGGATGCCTCTGTGACACACTGTTTGCATTATTAGTAAGCTTTTCCCCTTTTATGCTAATTTTGGGGTTTACTACAGTCAGTATTTCTTACAAGTTGGAGAATCATCTTCCTGAAAAGCCTAAAGAAGTGATTTTTCTAGGTTTCCAAGTAAAGTAATAACACAGATGAACAGCTCAGCCCTTCACACCTCTGATGATTCTGGCCCAGCATTTATGGAGAGACCATGTTCTCTCAATGGCATATGTGGGGACAAGGCTGATGCTCATTTTAGCGGTTAACTCTGTCATATCTGGTTTTAACTGCAGTGTTTCCTGAAATTTAGGGGACCTGAAATACGTACACACAGACATACAAATCTCGGTAACTACATGCCATGTCATAGCACTGTCATATGGCTAATTAAATTTACCGGAAGAGTACTTTTTTCAATTATTTAGGAATAAATGTTTCAAAGATATAGTGCAATAAGCACTTATTAAGAGTTGACCATAAAGATACCTTCTGTATTACTGCTACACTAAATATAAACCCAAAATTTTATAAACAATTAGGGAGGCTTTTACTATATTCAGAATGCCTTTTGACTTAAGACCAAAAAAGTGTCAATTTTCCTATTTTAAGGACAACAAAATACAAGTCATTGCTTTAATGCAACAATGTTCCTGAACACCTCTGGATGATTTCATGGAAAAATCTATGTGTGTGTGTATACATATACATACATACACATATGTATACACAGACATATATGTATACACACATATATGTCAATTTTGATTGACATAAAAATCGTATTTCCCAAGACGGAACTCATTTTGATGTTGCAATTTTGTTAACCACCTGGTACTTTCTATAGACAAAATATTTTTCCAATGCTTTCAAAACCATTATCTAAGGAGACTTCTTTCCTAAAAGCATATGTAACCTTGCAAAATAATTTGTCCATGTTATCAATAATATAGACATCTTCTTATAGTAAAATAAGCTAATATTATTTGTTTGGGTTTTCATGCATATGAAATGTAACAATGGAAAACCTTTTATAAATTTAAAAAATTGCTTTGTTTTTCATATTAAGGCACAATAGATGCAGACTGGCATGGTCAAATGACAATTCTATGAAGAATTAATAGTTACAATTAATACTAAGGTACAGAACATTATAGAAGTCAAAGAGTAAAAGAATTATATTTGAATCAATTCAATTTAGATTTTAGACACAAATTTGGTTCCTCCTCTATTATGTTCATGTGCTAAAGAGTTATATTTTTTCAGTTTGTACATAAAATATCATTTTCCCGCATTCATTTAAAATACAGAAGAAGGAAATAATTGTTTATCTGTGTATACCTTAAACTCAATGGTATCTTTTCTTTCAAAGTAGTTAAAGCACAGAAGATAGGCTTCTTAATCTATTTTAAAACAAAGAGAATTATAGTAGGATTTCAACTGCCATTTTTAAGTGAATTTTACTACATATATGCTAATGAAAAATTCTCCCACCTAAAAAAATTTGAGTTACACATATAACCAAGGATTTAAAAAAATACTTCTCACTATCAATGAGTCACATATATTCTCTTCTACAGTGTTAATTAAATCTTTTTAATAAAATAGAATTTAGGCCTTCTAATGTCTTTTTGAGGAGTTAGAAGTGGTTAATGCAATAGAGAGTACATAATATATATCATTTTCTGTTTTAGAAGTGGGTTTAAGAAAATTTTTAAAATACTTTCAATGCAACAGGTTTAAATATAATAAAAAACCACAATTATTCTATTTATATAAGCTCACTCTTAGGCAAAAACATCTATATTATGAATCCTATGAAACAGCTCGAGTACCAAAGTATTATTGTTCCTAGTCATACATTAATTTCATAGACCTCAAAATCAGAATTCTAATACAATTGAAATACTGGTAGTCATGCCTCAGACTTTTTTAAAAAATAGTTTTATTATTTTTTTTGTTTTGTTTTTAATATTTTGAGAGAGAAAGAGAGTGAGCAGGGGAAGGGAGGGGTAGGGAAGAGGCAGGGGGAATATTATGCAGGTTCCACGTCCAGCGCCGAACATAGAGTCTGAAGTGGGGCCTGATCTCACAACCGTGAGATCATGACCTGAGCCAAAACCAGGAGTTGGACGCCTAACCGACGGAGCCACCCAGGTGCCCCAATAGTTTTACTCTTTTATTTATTTATTTATTTATTTTTTAATTTTTTTTTCAACGTTTTTTATTTATTTTTGGGACAGAGAGAGACAGAGCATGAACGGGGGAGGGGCAGAGAGAGAGGGAGACACAGAATCGGAAACAGGCTCCAGGCTCCGAGCCATCGCCCAGAGCCTGACGCGGGGCTCAAACTCACGGACCGCGAGATCGTGACCTGGCTGAAGTCGGACGCTCAACCGACTGCGCCACCCAGGCGCCCCTAGTTTTACTCTTTTAATAAATATTTTAAAAACTTGAATTTATAATATACCCCAAATTTTAACTAATATCCTATTTACTCATAGAAATTTGAAACTAAATTTATCAAATAAATGTTATAGAAAGTTCATATAAATCAATTAGAGATTACTGTAAATATTAAATGCATAATCAAAACTAATATCCATACATATCAAATATCTTTTAAAATAGTCAATTATCATCAAATGTAAATTCTCAGACCAATTTAACTGCATTTGTGTTTTTCATGCGTCAATTTCTGTTATGCCTACATAACCTAGTCCTTTATACTTGCACATTTAATTTCAGTTAAAAAATTTGGTAATGCCTTCTTTTTTTAAAAAATAAAACTCGTAAGTATTTTGACTGTGTATCCATTTATTGACACGCAGTAAGCTCGTAACTGGAAACTTTTTATTAAATATGAACTAAAACTAGTGGTTTACTATATATTTTACAGAGGACAATATAGGTGTTTGTTAACTCGAAGATCAGTCATACATACCTTAGTTACATGTTGATATTCCAATATTCCTTAAGTACTTACTACATGTCAAGCACTATTCTATCTGTTGTGTTATTTTATATGTTTCAAAGTTTCAAAAATATAGTCTTTTGGTACCTTTTATGCTTTCTGAAACTTTAATATGCTCTTTTATATTTTTCGGTCTTTTATATAACTTAAATATTATCTTTCTCCCAAATA